AGGGGGTGGGGAAGCAGAGACATGGGGGCCGGGACTCCTGAGTCCTGAACCCTCTCCCTTTCCTCTCCTCAGCAATTGATGGTGGCGATGCCCCTTCTGTCCGCGCCTTCTTGACCCGGCGTCGCCCTGGGCTTCCAAGTGGGGAGAAGAAGGCGATCGCTTCTCTAAGATTAAAATAAAAGAGTTTGCCTTTACTCTGTGTCTGGCTGGGATACATGGGGAGTGTGCGGGGGAGGGACATTGGGCTGTAGCCCTGGCGTCCCAAAGGGGTCCCTGCTGCAGCTCAGGCCTCGTCCTCTCCCTGAATCCTCTCCCTGGCTCCTGGCCTCCAGTTTCTCCCCTCGTCAGTCTCCCATGGGGTCCCAGAGCGGACTCTGCCCCTCTCCTGTTCACAACCCCTCCCTGGCTCCCCATCGCCCCTGGGAGAAGGTCCAAACCCTCAGCCTGGCACTCCGAGCTCCGTGTGGCCTGACGGGAGGATATGCCTATTGATTTCAGAGAGAGGGGAAGGGAGGGAGAGAGAGAAACATCGATGTGAGAGAACATCCATTGGTTGCCTTCCGTACGTGCCCCGACCGGGGATGGAACCTGCAACGTAGGTATGCGCCCTGAGCAGGAGTCAAACCTGCCACCTTTTGGTGTGCAGGACAGTGCTCCAGCCAGCTGAGCCACACCAGCCAGGGCACGGTCTGGCCTTCAGGCCTCATTTGGACCTCCCCCTCCCTCTCACTGCCTAGTCCAGTGGTCGGCAAACTTATTAGTCAACAGAGCCAAATATCAACAGTACAACGATTGAAATTTCTTTTGAGAGCCAAATTTTTTAAACTTAAACTATATAGGTAGGTACATTGTTATTAACTTCATTAGGGTACTCCTAAGGCTTAGGAAGAGCCACACTCAAGGGGCCAAAGAGCCGCATGTGGCTCGCGAGCCGCAGTTTGCCGACCACGGGCCTAGTGACACCGGAGAGTTTCATTTGTTGAAAATTTTCTTAGTTTCTACGGTCCCTTCTACTTAGTACCGCCTCTCTAGTCCACCTGGGAAGTTTCTAATTGTCTCCCCCTCACCGGGGATGTTCCAGAGCCCTTTGGTGATCTGATCCATACCATCGTCTCTACCCTCTCCTACCCCTGTCCTGACAAGATGCCCATTCCTGGAATTGTACTTCAAGTCACAGTCACACCAAACTTTCTCACTTCCCGGCTCTGCAAGTGCTGATTCCCCTGAGGTGGCTGCACTCCCTCCTGCCATCCTTATCCGCCTCCCCACCCAGCCATCCCTTTTCTGAGCTTTCCCTGGAAAGCTTTTCAGCCTTCAGGTTTTCTCTGATCGACCCTGGCGGAGTTAGAATCCCCCTCTGGGAGTCCCCAATACCCAGTGTTACTCTTATAGCTATGTCTCCTATGGTGTGACAATGCCTAACACCTAGTCGGAACTCAAATATTTGTTGAATTAATGATGGCCAACCCCTCTCCTTTTTCCATAGTCCTAGGTGTATAAGTAAATGGAGGAATGTCAGTGGTAAATTGGAAGAGCGGTAAAGAGTAGCCGCATGTGCTGGCCGGTTTGGCTCAGTGAATGGAGCGTCAGCCTGTGGACTGAAGGGTCCCAGGTTCGATTCTGGCCAAGGGCACATGCCTGGGTTGCGGACTCGATCCCCAGTCGGGGGGCGTGCAGGAGGCAGCCGATCAATGATTCTCTCTCATCATTGATGTTTCTCTCTCTCTCTATCCCTCTCCTTTCCTCTCTAAATCAATAAAAATATATTTAAAAAAAAAGTCCAGCTGAAACCAGTTTGGCTCAATGGATAGAGCATCGGCCTGTGGACTGAAGGGTCCCGGGTTCGATTCCGGTCAAGGGCATGTACCTGGGTTGCGGGCACATCCTCAGTGGGAGATGTGCAGGAGGCAGCTGAACGATGTTTCTCTCTCATCGATGTTTCTAACTCTCTATCTCTCTCCCTTCCTCTCTGTAAAAAATCAATAAAATATATTAAAAAAAAAAAAGTCCAGTGTGACTGGAACGGAGTTGAATTGGGTGGGTAGAGGGAGACTTTGTGAGAAAGGTTAAAGGTGGGATAGGGTCTATGTGAGCATCTGAAGGAGATAATGTAGGCGCCGTGTCCACTAGATGGCGCAAGGCATCCTCAGAACTACAACTCCCAGCGACCCTCGAAGTAAGCGGCCCTTCCGAAGCAAACAGTGAGGTCCAGCGGCCGCTGGGACTTGTAGTTCTCATGGGGACTCTCCGTGGGACGGGAGAACACATTCTTAAGTCCTAAGAAGTGTGGGGCTGGGTCCTTTCTGCCGTCCCCTGTCTCCATGGTGATAGTTCCGGCGAATGCACGGGATTTGGCAGCGGCTGGGCCCTCTTCCCACTCCCTCCTCCTCACCATCTGCTCCACCTTCGCACCTGGCCCGGAGCCCCGGCCGCCGCCTCCGCACCCGGGCCGAGGATTCTGCTGCCACAGGGTGGCGCGTGTGGACGGCTCCGCGGGCTACTCACTCCTCCCTGGCCCAGGAGTCCAGCCCCCAGCCCCCTCCTCCCCGGGGGCCCGCGGGGGTTTCAAGCACAGGCAACACTGTGAGACCCAGACCCCCATGGAGAGGCCGCGGCGGGCAGTGGCTGCGGGACACCGGGTCCGTGGCGCCGTCCGCCACGCCGGCTGTTCCCCCTACCCCCCGGCGGGCCTGCGCCCCATCATGAAAATTTAATCCCGAATGCATTTGCGGCCCGAGGCAGAGAGGCGGTGGTGAAGGAAGCACCCTCCTGGGGCCTGGAGCTGGAGATGGCCTCAGCGTCGGGGCGAGGGGCCGGGCGCACAGACCAAAAGTCCGGGTTCAACCCTAAGGGGCGGGGCTGGATGCAGGGGGTGGAGTCAAAATGGAGGGGGCGGGGCAGATCCCAGGGGGAAGGGCCTGAACTCAGGGGGCGGAGACCGAACTGAGAGAGTTGGGCAGATTCCAAAGTGGGGACTAAATTATTGGGGGCGAAACTGGCGACGGCCGGAGGGGGGCAGTATCACAGTCGGGGATGGGACTCAGCGGGGCAGGAAACTGGAGGTCAAGGACCTGGGAGCCGGGTGCGTGCAAAGGAAAAACAACAGGAGGGGAAAGGAATTCCAAAGAGGGATGATGGGAACATGTGGATGGACGTCAAAGGGGAAGAAACGGGATGGGGAAGAATAGAGGGGACAAGGCGTGAATGAAGACGGGGGTTGGAATTCGGGGGAAAGAATTCCCTGCAGGAGAAGAGAACCTTTTGAATGAGGGTGTTGGAACCGGGGGCGATGATACAGGATGGGGTGTGGAATCCGGGGAGCGAGATGTGCACCTGGAGGGTGCAGAATCTAGGAGGGAGAAGACTGGGGATGAAATGCGGAAGGAGACTCCAGCAAGATGGCCCTGAAGGGGAGGAAAATGCGGGGATGAGATGAAAGGCAGGGGAGTGGGGCGGGGGACGCGTCTCTCAGGGAAGCGCTACAAGGAGCCAGGGGCGGGGATGGGATGAGGGAGAGTAACTCTGAGAAGGGACCGAGCTGGATTGATGCAACTCGAGTGAGTTCAAACCCAGGGGTGTGGTCCAGGAGTGGAAGGGCGGGGCCGGGCCGGCTTATAAAGCCAGGGAGGGTCT